AAGAATAAAAAAATGATGATAAGCTAAAAAAGAATGATGGTAGCATGTAAAAGGACACAGGAGCCAGCATGAAATAATCCCAATGATGACATCTGAAATATTGAAGGAAAGTAATAAACTGTTACCCATGGGGGAAAAATAAGAAACCACAAATGCATACTAAAAATAATTCAAATATACACAGATAACTAAAAGGGCTCTTATTACAGTAAAATACTAAATAATGACTGGTAAATGTAGAGGACAAGGTAAAATAGGAAAAAAAAAATCACTTCACGACCCTAACAGTAGACTGATTCAAGCTAGTTTGATCAATGGAATCTATATACAAAGGATAACGTTTTATGAGGAGCAATATGTTTTTTAAAAAATATTTTTAAATGTTGATCGACCTTTATTTTATTCATTCATTTATATGTGGTGCTGAGAATTGAACCCAGTGACTCACACATATGAGGCAAGCACTCTACCACTGAGCCACAACCCCAGCCGGCCCCCCCTAGAAGCAATATGTTTTAATAGTACCTCCCTTCTCATAGACTTTTTATTAGTTGCAAGGAAAGTATACAGTAACTATTTAGTTGACAAATGAGATAATGAAACGGGTGGTCAAAATCTACATCCCAAATGAGGTACAGGTCACTCCAGAAGTGATATGCTAAGAAAGACACATTCTTTATGTAATATTCTATCCAGGAACTAGTAACCTGAAATTTTACCAAGAAAAAACATTAGACAAACCAAAAATGAAAATATGCTGTGGAAAAAAAGGGGGAGGGAGGAAGGTTACATAGTTTTGAATTGCCCTTGTAAGACAAAGAAAATCTGAAGAACTATTCCAAATTAAAAGGTACTAAACTGGGCACAGCAGTACATAACTGTAATCCCAGCAGCTTGGGAGACAGGAGTATTGTGATTTCAAAGCCAGCCTCAGCAAAGGTGAGGTACAAAGCAACTCAGTGAGACCCTGTCTCTAAATAAAATACAAAAGAGGGCTAGGGTTGTGGTTCAAGTGCCTCTAAGTTCAATCCGTG